CCTGTGTATAAGCCCACCACATGTACTAACGTTCATCTTATTCCAAATATAAGCCCCCCCCCGAATATAAGCCCACCCGAGTATAAGCCGCCCCCCCGAATATAAGTCCCCCCAATTAATATAAGCCCAGTAATCGCTGCTTAATACACGTTTATTTCCCTGTTTATGACTGACTTGTTTATGTCTGACTTGTTTATTACTAACACAAAAGATCGTCCATGTATAAGCCCACCCGTATATAAGCCCCCCCCCCTTGTATAAGCCCATCAAAAATCGCTTACGAAAGTGCATAAGCCCAGGGCTTATAGTCGGAGGTTTACGGTATGGTCTAATAGCGACTGTTTAAAGCGCCATTTGTAAGCTCACAGTCTACCTAGTCCTCGGTCTGGTTCACGACAGTTCCGGTTCTAATGTAACCAGTCACTGAGAAACTCTGATAGGGAATGTGCTGTACAATATCTGTAATCTGTATTAATCAAGTAAAATAACAGATATCAGGGCTTGAAATACAACAGCCGATTCAATGATTAGACCTACGTTTCGCCCGCCCTAAAATTCGCGGGTCGACGAAGGGCGAAACGTAGGTCTGATGAAAATGTTGTCAAAAGTGCATGTAAGTCGACCGCCTGGCGGTCGACAAAGCTGATTGGCTAATTCACAGGGAAATGGGTTGTGATTGGTTGGTCGCTAACATGAAAAGATTTGAAAAGATCAGAATATTTTCAACGGTAAATTAACGCATATAAATATGCATACAGTGTAATATTATAAATATTTTGTGATGCCGAACGACAACTAGTCTATGATCAGTATCTACCGTCTAAAATTAGTAAAGCAGTACGTGTCGAATTCTTCAGCGTTGTATCTTTCCGTTGTAGTAAACAATACAATATATAATTTCTTATACACGATCTAAGTTTTGTGATTATAAATCATAATAAAACTCGGATACAAATATGTGCGCATTCATGATTTACATTTTGATAACATAGCACGTACAAAATATTCTATCGACTCTTACTAGTTTACAAACTTGCAATAAAGTGAAATCGGCAACTTTCATTGTATTTTTAGGTATTACTTGTATATGTCAATCATCATCTTTAATTATTGGAAAATGCAAAGTGGGCGGAAGGCGCTTTTGACTACATTTTCATCAGACCTACGTTTCGCCCTTTCCGTCGACGAATTTTAGGGCGGGTGAAACGTAGGTCTGTTATCAGGCTAATCAATGATCGGCAAGTAATTTTTATGATCGGCGGAAAGGCAGGATTTCTAACCTTCAGGGAAAAGCAGGGAAAGTCATGACTGCCGATCACCATGATCAGGAACTCTGGGAACGTTATTTCAAGCCCTGCACATATAACAAGATAAATCCTATTGTTTTAGTCATTAATTGGACTAACATAGAGACATCAGCATAATCATCCTCAAATTCAGAAACGCCTACTACATTTGGGCCGAAAATGGTAGCAATTTCGCACGCAATGCAAAAGTATACAAAATTTGCAAAGTTTGCAAGGCTATATATATTTCCGCATTTTCCAACATTTTGTAACCAAACTTTGCAAATTTACTAATTTTAGTATGCTCTTTCCAGCTGTGGTGATTTATTTCCATCTCCTTGCCTAGTTTTAAAATTACTTTATAGTGAGAATTGTCCATTGTTAACAAAGATTTATGCGATAACTTATTAAAGTTTTTCTCTACGTACATTGGAAGGTATATTGTCCCCAACCTCCGTCGCAGGGACTTTCAACCCGAAAGACCTTGGATACGAGGATGTATTGTCCCATATTTTCACTTCAGATCTTACAAAAGAAGCATTTAATTTATTTAGTCTTAAATACTCAATGTAAAATTATTATATAAAGTTGTTACCACAAATACTCGTTGCTCTGTAGTCAGTTGAACCATTCTTACTCGAATGGTAAGGTAAAAGGATTTTGTAATTTGACATTTGTGTGTTGCTGTTCGTTTTAGAAGCTATTTTAAATCCCCAGAGGTATGACAACGCACGTTCAACAACAAAAGAGTGACTCTATAGGGGGACTTTGGGACATCTGGCTATCATCGTCCTTGAGATGCGATATAGTTTATCTTAACTAAGCCTATAGATCTTCCTTAAGATGCGATATAGTTTACCTTAACTAAGCATGCATAAATTGTACATACTGATGTGTGCCGAATATCAACGACACAAACTACTAATAAAATTATTGCAAGATAGGCCTATAGCTGGCAAAGTTTTTGATGTGTTGGTAGAAATTTGAAGTTAAAATGTTGTGTGACTCAAGCATGACTATGCACACAATTTGAGCTTTATTTTTTTACAAATAAATAAAAGCAAAACAAACAGCGCATGTGTGTAATGAATGCTCAGTGACACAGCCGTTTTCGGTGTGTAAGGGACTGGTCTTTATTTATAGAGGAAGGGGGAGGGGGGGCGTGGCACGAAGAGAAAAGGGTTGGGTAAACAATTTTAAGTGAGTTGAAAATCTTGGGTAAATGAAAAACAAAACAACACCAGGGTTGGGTAATAAAAATGCATTGTCATTTCCAAAGCACGACTCGTTCAAATATTAAAGACCAAAAGCATGAGAGGCAATAGTTATACAGCTATTTCAATTAAGGTTGTCCACGAGCAAAGCGGAAACGTCGAATACGAGCGCGAAAGGCTGCTGGGAACCGCTTTGAAATTAAAATTAATGAATTTTCAAAGCGGTTCCCAGCAGCCTTTCGCGCTCGTATTCGACTTTTCCGCTTTGCTCGTGGACAACCTTAATTGCAATAGCTGTAGGTCAATACAGTATGTAAATCAATCAGAGTCATGAGAGTGTGTAATCTTGATTTTCCGATTTATCAGGAGGCAAATGGTGTCTTCAAAGAAAGTACATGTATAGCACAACTCATATCACAGAAGTGGTTGTTCTGTCATTTAAATTTTATAATGAAATATACTGGATTTGTTTTATAGTGTCGACTACGAGATATAACATATTCTGCACCAATAACAGTGGACATTGAGTACACAAGGGGAAGTCAGGTGAGATTCACGTACTGTAAATGGAAATGCTTTCACAACTGCAATTTTATCCCGACGCAAAATTCGTCATTTGGATGCACAGTCCACACTAGGAAAGCATTCATTATCGGAGTGATTATACTAACAAATTATTTCGTAATATGTTTCAGAGAGTCGTTCGAAATAATCTGCCAATTGGGAGGTACAGTATTAAACGAATTATCCTACATTTTATACTGTATACTGTATTACTTTACTTAATTACTAGACCATAACCATATTTACCATACCATACCATACCACGATCCAGACCTAACATAACCATATCATACCATGATCCAGACCTAACATAACCATACCATACCATACCATGATCCAGACCTAACATAACCATAACCATACCATGATCCAGACCTAACATAACCATACCATACCATGATCCAGACCTAACATAACCATACCATACCATGATCCAGACCTAACATTCATACCACACCATGATCCAGATCTAACATAACCATATCATACCATGCTCCAAACCTAACACAACCATACCATACCATACTATGATCCAGATCTAACATTCATACCATACCATGCTCCAAACCTAACATACCATACTGTATCATACCATGGTCCAGACCTAACATTCATACCACATCATGACCTAGACCTAACATAACCATACCATACTATGACCCAGACATAATATAACCATACCATGGTCTAGACCCAACATATACCATGATCCATGCAGACCTATAACATAACCATACCATGATCCAGACCTAACATAACCATACCATACATGATCCAGACCTAACATAACTATATCATACAATTAATTATATGTTACCTCTATCACGTATATACTAACTATGGAATATTTAGCATTAAATTTTCTGCACTAAAAGTTTGGAATGTATTAGACGATTCGGATTGAAATCTATTCGACGATTCGATTCAAGACTTTGAATTTGAAAAGTTTTAAAAAGCAATTCAAAAATTAATTAATAGATCAGCACGAATAGTTTTGATCAAGTAGCCTTCTCCAAGATCTCATTATTTCTTTTTTCATCTACAATCTGTACTATTATTTTCGGTTTGTGTTTTTTGATTCTGTGTGTCGTATCTTTGTTTGTCATTTTGTGCTCGATATTAATTTCTGTCTGCTGAACTTATTTCTTTCAAAATCATTGTTATAAGCCATCTGACTAGATTAGCCATATAAGGTTATTTCAGATGGTTACACTCTACATTATTTCTGTAATCATTTGTAATTGTAATTTTAGATATTATTCAGTATGTATTTTTTTTAGTGTTATAAAATTGTATTGTATTGTATGATACAGACCTACCAAAACCATCACACCATACCATATACCACTCAGTCCTACTGTAGTGACCTACCCTAACCATATATCATACCATACCATTCACACCTTCCATAACCCTACCATATCATACCATTACGACACCATAGCACATCGCAATGCAGCATACTATGCTGACGACCAACTATTGTATGTTGTGTACTGTAAGTACTATAGGTTGGTATTCTAAAGGTATTTTGTTTCCTGTAGAATGCCAATAATGTTACGAAGTTCAAACTGTATCCTAACAGGGAAGACTCCATATGAACTTTCCAAGTTGAACGAATGCCCACTTGATCCAGGTACTGTGATATTGACACAAGGGGCACGGGTAGCAAATATACATGGTAACGTACTGGGCCTTGCCACTAAAAATAGGCCGCTGTTGCTGGTCGAGTGCAGAGACTAGACACCTTACGATTTTAGGACGGCAACGCGACGACGACGGCCAAAACAAACTCCTTCAAATAAATGATAGTAAGATAATTCGTGGTATATTATCAATCGTATGAATAATACAATCTTAGAAGTTGAAGACATGGATTTTATGTTTGGGAAGAGTTCTGCTCAGGCCCGTAGCTGGGGGGGGGGGCTGGGGGGCATTGCCCCCCACTCGGTGGGGCAGTGCCCCCAGTGCCCCCCCACTCGGAAATAAAATTGAAATTATGCCCCCCCCTTACGTTTTGCAGAACTAATAGCTGTTAATGTTTTTTTTGGCTAAGTACCGAAATTTGGTATGAAAAATTGAGATAAAGGACCTGGAAACCAATTGCAATCATGGGACAAATTCTGAAAATGTTGTGGTTAAGTGATGTTTCGAAAATTTTTGTTAGGTTTCGGAAAAATTTGGTTTGTCCGGAAATAAATTCTGGAAAAAATTTTTCTCATCTCAAACCCTCTGTTATATTCTTTCTGCAGTGCCCCCCCCCCCCCCCAGAAATTGAGAGCCAGCTACGGGCTTGGTTCTGCTGCGTGAAGCCAGTTTGAAGTTGCACTTGTTGCGGCTTGAAATGCAGCCGTTGTATCAAGACGTGAAAATCTGTGATTTGGCGTTGTAAACAGAGCGACGACATGAGTTTAAATTATTCATATATTGTAATTATTCAATTCTTTTCAATGATTTATTGTATTGGTCGCCGTCCTAAATCGTAAGGTCTCTATTTACATAAGTTGGGTACTTGGGTAACATTTTGCTTTAAAGGACATTGGCAATATAAAATTAGTTCAGTTCATTTGAAAGAACTCTTAAAACTATATATTAAACTCTATTACAGATTGTTTATATCTTGCTTAGTTTTCAAAATATTTCGATTGAAAAAAGCGAGCTGTTCGCCATCTTGGATTATTGAGGATATGCATGTTACGTCAAGAGAGGGGTCACGCTTAATTTTTTATCTTGAGAATAAGCGTTCAATATGGGTCCAAAACTTCGTTTCTGGTTGCTGTCTGAAACTTAGAAATGATTAAAAACATTTCAAACAATTTTGGATTGTTACTCGGTCATTTTAGAGTAGCTTTATATGGTTAACCCAACTCCTGACGTCATCAAAACCATAGTTAATGAGGTCAAGAATTAGTGCAAGATGGAGGACAGCTCATTAATTTCGGTCTAAATATTTCGAGAACTAAGCAAGATATGACAAATCGTTAATAGAGTTTAATATTAAATTTTAAGAGTTCTTTTGAATGAGACAAACTCATTTGTTATTGCCACTATCCTTTAAACAATTCCGGACAACTCATGTGAGTGGACAACGACATGAAAATTTATATTTTTTGTTCGAGTTTTGAATTGTACATTTGACTATTGCAATGGACAGCCTTAATTGAAATAACTGTACATACTGTATACTTAGGACGATTCTACGATGCGAAAGACAATAGGGAGCCTATCTTGGGATGTTGTATTAATTTTTTGTGATATTGTTATCGTACAGGTGGCTATTTTATCGTGGGTGGCACAGAGAAAGTGATTTTAATTCAAGAGCAGTTATCTAAGAACAGAATGATTGTCGAGGTTGACAAACATGGCAGTGTTGGTTGTCAAGTAACGAGGTATTTACGTAGAGAGTCCTCAATGTGCATATATATCATGACTGCTGGTTTTTAGTGCAAAGTTGCTTCGCACTATTGTTATGAGAAAAATTCAATCCAGTGACCGATCAATGGATCGATGGATGGATGGATCGATCTATAGAGTAAACAATCCGGAGGGAGCTGGCGGATGATTTTTTATTACGTTTTCTAGAGCTTCGCGACGTTCGGCCAACTAATCGTTTATAGCTGTTTATAGATTTTAAAAATCTATATTTATATTCATGATGGTACATGTTCTTACTTATTTTTCCAACATTTAGAGAAGTTATAACCAAATTACTGTTACATTTCAAGCACTTGTTATTATATGATTCGCCCCCCTGCAACATAAAACAAATGAATAAATACACGTGCTCTCATATAACATCATTTTACAATGGCGGGCATGGACGAGCGGTGACTATTGAGCGGCTGTGTGAAATCGTGTAGACTGTAGTGTATTTATATACAACCACTGAGGTTGACATGCAGTATTACGAGAAAATCTTTGAGAAAGATCAAGTTCCCGCAAATGTCAAGTATTCGCAGAAGAAAAAGTTTGAGCCAAAACTGCTTGTTTGGTTGGCTGTCAGTGAGGAGGGCCACAGTCACCCATTCTTTGTGCCAAGCAGGGGCAACGTGAAAGGCAATGTTTACCTAGAGGAGTGTATGTTGCGTCGTTTAGTGCTATTCCTGCAACAGTACCACGCAGACGACGATAGAGAGGTTAAGATACCCCGGTTCCGGTTTACGAGTACGGTTGATATACACGTACCCGTAGCCGTAAACCGGGGAACGACTTGTAACTTAAGAAATCCAAGATATTCCGGCGTGAGTAAACCTATCAGAGAATGGCAACTTTCGCTGTTGAGGTTCGCCATGGATTGTTGAAAACTTTGACAAACATAAATGCATTATTTATTTGGGTAAAATGTTGAGTATTTTCCCGAGCCGACGGCGCGAAGCGCCGTTCGAGAGTACTAATTCCGCACGGCTATTTACACCCGGGTGTTTGAAAACATAGCGAAGTGCAAAGTTGTCCTCCATTGTGTGACGGACGGTCTTCGACGTTATGCGCGTGCGCGAGTACAAGCTCGCACTAAAAAATATTTTCATTTTACAAAGATGTATGTTCGCTGTTTTACAATATATTTTTCGCTTTTAACTGGAAAGAAGCCTGCAGTTTCGTGAATTAGTGGCTGTCAACCGTGAAACAAAGTGTGAAAGGCATGTCTAGTTAAGCCTGGTTCACATTGATCGTAAACATCGGCGATGCCCATTGTCGGTGGTCATTGATCCATAAAATGTTTTGTGCATTTTCTTCTTCGTTGCTCACAGACAATGGATCGTAGAACATCGCCGATCAATGTGAACCAGGCTTTACTATTTAAACGGACCACAAATAGTAAACAGAAAACACCCGTACACGTTTGTCTTTTACGTGTAGACCATGGTTTACCGCGGGGAAACAGGTAGAAATTACGGGTAAAAATGCTGACATCAGTCAGCAAAAATTGGTAAACAAAATGGCGACACTGGTATCCGTATAAAAGGGAACCGGTTATGTGTTTTGGCCCGACCTAGCATCGTCACATTATGCGATTATACAGTTGCCCTCTTTCGCGACCAAAACATTCATTTTGTACCAAGAGATGAAAATCCTCCCAATATGCCACAAATCCGACCAATTGGGAATTTTTGGAGTATTTTCAAGTCCAAGGTATTTATGACGGCGGTTGGACAGCGAAAACAAGGGGATGATGTCTATCATCAACACAAAGATCCGAAAAGCCGCTGACACATCACCTATTATTATGCTTTTGTAATACACCGTAATATTCTGTTCTAGGCTTGGGTAGGCAAAGCCTAGTTGATGACCCTCTCAAACCATAATCATACATTGTGTTAGAATTTTGAAAAAAGTTACTTAGCTCCCCAAAGACTGAGTAAGTTTTTTCAAAATTCAAATACAATGTATGATTATGATTTGAGAGGGTTATCAACCAGGCTTTGCCTTCCCAAGCCTAGAACAGAATATCTAAAAAAAAGTTTCAGTTACAATGGGGCTCATATCTGGAATCAAATTCCGGAACACATAAGAATTTCGGCATCTTATATTTCGTTTTGTGAAAAGCTTTTTCCTTGACCTTTTGATTTAGCAATAATCATGCTTAAATCATAGTAGTAATTTGTTAGATTTCTTTATTAATTTATAGTACTTATTAGTAAACGAATTGATATTTATACATCATAGGTAATTAATGGGGGGGGGGGGGGGGGTTATTCTATCATTGTAGTACACACCTCTTTTGGAAACCAGTTTTGTGAAAAGCTTTCTTCCTCGACCTTTTCATTTAGCAATAATCATGCTTAAATTATAGTACTACTTTCTTAGATTTCTTTATTAATTTATAGTACTTATTAGTAAACAAATTCATATTTATACATCATAGGTAATTAACGGGGGGGGGGGGGGTTTTATTTTAT